TTGCCTCACCGTTTACAGTGATACTTTCATCTGCCTATCCCCAAACTCTGAACTCCCTCTCTTAACCCCCTTGCTCCATACCTCACATCCTTTGTTTAAGAATTGTTTTTAAAAAAAACTCGTTGGCCAATCTCTTTTTTTACAATATCTCATTGTGTGGCTGTCTGTCAAGTTGTTTGATATTACTCATATAAGACGGTAAGATATAAGAGCAGAATTAGGCCATTCAGTCTGCTCTGCCATTTGATCATGGCTGATATGTTTCTCAACCCCATTCTCCTGCCTCCACCCTGTATCCCTTGATCCCCTTATTAATCAAGAGCATTTTTCTTTCATTCACGGGAAGAGGGCATCGCTGGCTAGGCAGCATTTATTGCCCATTCCTAATTGCCCAGAGGGCGGTTAAGAGTCTTCCACATTGCTCTGGGTCTGGAGTGACATGTAGGCCAGGCCAGGTAGGGATGGCAGTTTCTTTCCCTAGAGGACGTTAGTGAATCTGATGGTTTTTCCAACAATTAACAATGGATTCATGGTCATTGTTAGACTCTTAATTCCAGATTTTCCTTTTATTGAATACACATTCCACCATCTGCCATGGCAGGATTCAAACCCAAATCCCCAGAACATTATCTGGGTCTCTGGATTAACAGTCCAGCGATTAATACCATTAGGCCATCATCTCCCCATTTCTACCTCTGTCTCCTGTAAATTGCCATTACGTATTTTACAACATTCAACCTCCTCTCGGTATTTATCCTGTTAAGCCCCTTTAAGAATCCTATATATGTCAATGAGATCATCTCTTGTTCTTCCAAACTCCAATGAGTAGAGTCCCAACTTGTTTAAGCTTTGCTCGTAAGGCACTTCCTCCATGCCGGGGTAATCCTAGTGAACATTCTCTGAACTGCCTCCAATGAAATAATACATTTCCTTTAAGATATAGCAGTGCAAGTTGTTGTTTAATTGAGGAAAGCAAATTTTGAAGTTACCTGTTGGGAAAATATTTAGTTACAATTTTTGACACACACCCATTTGACATTGCTGCAACTTTGCTTAAATTGCCTATTATTGTCGTTGGGGAAGAAAAAAAATCAAGTGTGTACTCAGTAGCTCTTGGCTTGCATTAAAATTATGAAGGCTATCTGATATTATCCCAAATGAATTGGTTTTATAGTTTCATTCAGCACTAAGTCTGGCAACTGAAATCCATTAATCATGTAAGTCACTTGTTGTACCGTCATCCAAAGTGACACATCAGCAAGATCTGAGTACAGTAATTAAATACCACATCAATTTGTTGACTGTAATACAACTTAATCTTGGCCTCTAACAAGTCTGCTTCTGATTGTGAATTCGCAATGCTAATTAAGATCTGCTGCAGATTTTTTTATTCATTTGTGGGCCATGGGCATCTCTGGCTGGCCAGCATTTACTGTCTGTTCCTAGTTGCTGGTGGTGTCCCTTAGATGGTGGTGGTGAGGTGCCTTCTTGAACCATTGCTGCCCATGTGCTATACGTTGACCCTGAAAGATGGAATTCCAGGATTTTGACCCAGCAACAGTGAAGGAATGGTGATATATTTCCTTTCCAAGCCACTTAACATCCTGACTTGGAATATGCAGGTGGCGGTGTTCCCGTGTATCTGCTGCCCTCGTCCTTCTAGATGGCAGTTGTTGTGGGTTTGGAAGGTGCTGTCTAAGAATCTTTGGTCAGATTCTGCAGTTCATCTTGTAGATAGTACACAGTCCTGCTCCTGAGTGTCAGTGGTGCAGGGAGTGGATTGTTGTGGGTGTGGCACCAATCAAGTAGGCTGCATTATCCTGGATGGTACCAAGCTTCTTGAATGTGTTTGAAGCTGCAAGCATCCAGGCAAGTGGAGAATATTCCATCACTCTCTTTACATGTGTCATGTTTATGGTGGACACTGTTCCTAGCCTTTGACCTGTTCTTGTAGCTACTGTGCTTGTAGTCAGTCCACTTGAGTTTCTGGCCAATGGTAACACCAATGATTGTGTGGGATTCAGTGACGACAACACCATTGAATGTCCATGGGCAGGTGTTAGATTGTTTCTTATTGGAGATGGTCATTGCTTGGCATTTGTGTGGTGTGAACGTTACTTGCCATTTGTCAGTCTAAGCCTGGATATTGTCCAGGTCTTGTAGCAGTTGAATATGGATTGTTTCAGTATCTGAGGAGTTGTGAATGATACTGAAGATGGTGCAATCATCAGCGAATATCCCCACCTGACATTATCATGGAGGGAAGAAATTGATGAAGCGCCTGAAGATGTTTGGGCTGTTGACGGTACCCTGAGGAACTCCTGCAGAGATGATCTGGAGGTGAGGTGACTGACCTCCAACAACCACAACCATCTTCCTCTGTACTCGGTATGATTCCAACCAGCGGAGATTTTGCCCCCGATACCCATTGATTCCAGGTTTGATAGGGCTTTTTGATGCTACACTGTGTCAGGCATGGCCTTGATGTCAAGGGCTGTCACTCTCACCTCACCTCTGGAATTCGGTTGTTTTATCTGTGTTTAATGAGGTCAGGAGTTGAGTGGCCCAGGCAGTACCCAAACCCCAAACCAAAGGATACTTATGAATGTTTTACCTAATTATTGTGTGTTTTCTTAACAATTGAAGTTTCTGAAGTGACACAATTTGAAAAATGCCACTATTATTAAATACTTAGAAAAATTGCTCTCTGGCTTTTGTTCCCATGATGTCCACATTTCTCTGAATATTTAACCTAACCCACTAACCTTGCTGGTGGGAAGTGCTGAAGAATATGAATGAAACTTTCCTGTCACCCTTTGGAAAACATTTTTGTCTTGCTGAACAATTCCAAGCTCTAGTAGCAAGAGTGCGTGTTTAGATTAGTTGTCACTCTGCTGATCCCTTTTCTATGATGAACTCATGCTTTTAAATGTGATTCTGATGCTCTCATTTATGTTGTTGGAATGTGTTAGGATTTTGGTAGAGATCAAGAATTTTTTGAAAAGTAGACAAAATCCAAAATTCTAGCTATTTACTAAAAGAACAAAGCCATACAATTCCAAGGTTTGAAACAGAGGATGTTGTCCTGGACAAAAGTCAAAAAAAATGCTGAATACCATTTTTATTAATCGCCTAAACTCTAAACCCAATGTCAGCATTAGTTAAGCATGCATTGATAGGCAATTGATTAATTATACACTTAGTGTCAGATACAATTAAAATTGATTTTGCAAATTGTCACAGTCTCATTGTCTTTCACACTCTTACCTTTTTCTAACAAAAATTTTCAGCACCTTTTGTTCTAGGACATATCCTGATCTAGAATCGATTGCAACAGACAGCCAATCAGGGTTTCAAAGAAATAGTCTTCAACAAAAATGTTGTACATAGCAGAACCTCCTGAATTCAGTCTGCATGGCATAAATCGACTAATGCAATTTTCAAGTGACTTAAGAAACAGCTGCAGTAACTCTGTATTTGCTTTATTCTCAATTAATAGGTGTAGGTTTTTTCTTGCTTGTCTGCTCTGCACCGCTTGACTCATCAATACCTGAGGTCAAAGGGCCCTGTTTTCTCTTTCAGTCGTGCTTTTGTAATGATACTTCTCCACACTAGGTAAGAATATGTAACAGAAAAATAATTCTGTGCTGCAGCCAAATCAACATTCTCGTCAGACAACTGAAAAGCTATCTCAAGGTTATCGGGGAACAGAATTGTCATTTGGTTGTTGCCACTTTTATCTTCCAGAGATAAAAGTGGGGATGTGTAGACATATTTTCCTTCATTGATATTTTAGCAATGATGGGTGTTAGATTGCTTTGGCTGTCTTGCATCCAGCTAAGAAAATGGAACGGGGTTCATTCTAAGGACAAGATCTCGTGGTGTTAACTGGATAAAAGGTTCTTTTTCAATTGGATTTTCTCTGGCAGTTTGTGTTTGAGAGTTTACGATAATGTAAGAGGGTAAGCCTTTCTCAAAAGGAATGTAGAATGGTTATAATTAAAATGAATTGTCAGTATTATTATGTGGCTCATCAGTTTTGCGGCTAGAGGATACTGGATGAGAGGGTATGGCGAGACCATAGGCGTTAGTTGAGGAGTGAGGGCTAGAGGACCGAATAACCATGAAAAGAACTGGACCAGAGGTGGCTGGGCTGGTATTTTGAGTGTGTGATGTATATTTGTGTAAATGTAAATAACAAATGGACAAACACTGGACAGTTTTGTTGGTTTCATTTAGTGTCTTGGTATTTGTTCATGGATAGCTTTTAATTTACTGTTTATATAGATACTAGTATATGATCAGTGTAAAATATTAGAAATCTTCAGTTTCCCCTTTGGTGTTCCTCCTTCCTGTTGATAAGATTCAGTCGTGCTTTTGTAATGATACTTCTCCACACTTGGTAAGAATATGTAACAGAAAAATAATTCGGTGCTGCAGCCAAATCAACATTCTCCTCAGACAACTGAAAAGCTATCTCAACCCCAAGTGCAGTCTCTGGCCCCATTTACCAACCTAAAATGTGCAGCCCTGTCACAATGGGTAGCTCTAGAGATTAAATATCATCAGCTGGACCTGTTGAAAGGAATTGTTTCCAAGCAAGCAAAAAGTATGGAGATGTGGGGAATGGGAGCCAATAGAACAGTTTGGGAGCAATACTAATATAGCAGTTCTGAGGTGGCATAAATGTCAGATGAACTAAATATTATTCTGACTAAATGCAGCCCATAAGATGCTTTGGTCATGCTGGAATCTTCTTCAGGAGTCTGCTTTGGAGGCCTCTCCACCAAAGAAGACTCAGTGCTTCCACTTCAGCCTGTTTGCTGGGGTATACAATCTACTTTATGTTGATCTGCATGCATCTGGATCAAGGAATTAAATATAATAGAAATATATTGTAGTACTAATATAGTAGCAGCTTGAGTTAGAAGTTGTTTGTTCATGCAGCTTTTTTTTTAAATAATAAAAGCACATTTATAATTTGTCCATTATTTTAACAGACAAGCGGGTGGAAAACTGGACTTTGATGCAGTCACCCCTGCCTACATTGGCAGTGAGCAGTCTTTACCTTTCCTTTGTGTGGCTGGGTCCAAAATGGATGAAGAACAGGGAGCCTTTTCAGCTACGTACTCTGCTTATTTTCTACAACTTTGGAATGGTAATACTAAATTTCTACATCTTTAAAGAGGTTAGTCAATCATACCTACATATTTTGCTTCGTTCGGCTGTACTGTGTCCTGGGGTTTATGCTATTTGTATTTGTGAAAGAAAACATTGTATAACATTTACCAAACTGGAATAAAGCATTCCAATCAATGTCTGTTGTTAGTGTGATATATAAACACCATCTTCTCCCACCTTCTTCCCACCCTATAAACATATCCTTTTGTCTTTCCTCTGTTATGTATATCTAGATTCCCCTTACGTGCATCTATGCTATTAGCTTAAATTTCTCCTTGTGGTAGCTAACTACGTTCTAGGTAAAGAATTTTCTCTGCTAATTATGGCCCATGATTTTGCAATTCACCACCATGGTAACATTTACTACATTTACCTTATTGAAACTCTTCATAATTTTAAAGACCTCTACCAGGTCATCTTTTAGTGTATTTTATCAAAAACAAGAAGCTGGTTCAATCTGTTGGAATTCAGAGAATACAGCATTTCGATCTAAAGGTAAAATTGACCAATCTTGCCCGTACTTCCATGCAGAGATGCTAAGTGAGCACTGATGAGATTGGAAGGATAGATTCATCGTAAGTTCCTTAAAAGTAGATGAGCACTACAGCCAAAGATGAGAAGCAGGTCACTTAGCTACCCAGCCTCTTTTACTTTTACTTTTGCTCATAAATGAGAGAGAGAAAAGCAAACAAATTTTCTTGCTTTAAATTGCATGATTCTTCCTGACACCCGAGGCTAAATTTGGCAGCAGTTGTGTTGCTTGATAGATCATTTCATTCCATGACAGTTATGATTGCATTTGAAAAATGCATTATTCGGTGTGATGCACTTTGACATTTCCTGAGATTGTGAAACCTATGTAAATGAAAGTTCTTTCCTTCCCATTCGTTCCCTTCATTCATTTCTCCAGCTGTGTAATTGTGGGCATGAAATGGAAGATTCCAGATACTGACCAGACTGTTATTAAACCACTTAGCCACAAGGTAACAGATTGACCTCAAATTCAAAAACTTGGGATGCCAATATGGACAAAAAAAAATCACTGACATGAAATAGGCTCTAGACTAGAGAAATCACCAAATAATGACTTCTGTTTGCTCAGGGACAAATGAGAAAATGTATAAATTTGTCTGTAAATTTTAGAAATAAGAGAATTTTATTTTTATATTGTTTCACCATCCCAGGACATCCTAAAATGCTTATTCAGGTAGTGAAGTACCTTTGCAACATTGATTGTAGTTCAATGTAGAAAACGTAAGATGATCGCTGATAGGAAAACTCGGTGATCTAAAGATACCTCTAGTTAATTATTTCTCAATGTATGTTGTTGAACGTTTACACGTGAAAACCAGATGATCAACTAAATCAAACTAAAGGAAACATCGCCTCTCTAACGTAAATGCATTTTTAACCAATACGTTTTTTGCTGCTTTTGCTTTCAGGCACAGACTTAAAATATTTGGCAGTCTATCCTTTGTTGTTCATCACTGTTGACACTGTTGATTTATTGTTCCTTACAGCTCTTCTTCGCTGCAAGAGCAGCAGGATATAGTTATATCTGCCAGACTGTCAGCTACACAGATGATGTCAATGAAGTACGGGTAGGTACTTTCATTAGTTTTACAATTGACAAGAACTGATACTGAATAGTTAAATAATGGACAGAAGCATTCTTGTTTACTAGTTGACATTGAAGATAAGTGCACGTGCACTTTATCCTGGCATCCTGTATTTCCTGCAAGGAGTAAGATGTATTCATAAAGGCAAAAAATACTGAATCTTTTAAGATACATTTGATATGCATGATGTTAGGGACTTGACCCACATAATTTTGCTTTCCTGCACTGTTAAAAGGATTATTTATTGAAATGGTGTTCCATTTCCTTTACCTTGATACATAGTGGTCAAATTGTATTGAAGGAAATATTTCAAGACAGGTCTGCTAACAGTGCTTAAATGGAGATAGTTGTTACTTACAGGAAAGGTGTATTCCATAGCAAAGCTTAAATTTAGCCTGAATTTTCACTCTTGGGATGGACTCCACAAGCCTGACCTGTTGCTGTGTTGGTGAAGATTGAGCCTCGGCTGCTGCTCTGGCAGATGTTTGGGCTATCGATCCGGCAGGAAGCTTGGCCTTGGTGGTTTGGCTCTTGTCAAAGCTTTGGGGGATAACATAAAATACAGCCCTCCAGCCCTCTTTCCTCATTTGCCTGCCTCCTCCAACACTCTTCCCATGCCACTTCCTGCCATTTCATTCCCCCAATTCATCTCTTGTGGTCTTTTATAGCTCTTGTACCAACTTGGTGACAGCCCATGTCCCCATTCACCATTCTTTGCCCGAACAACTTCCATGGCACTGGCAGACCTCAGAACCCATGTTAAAACTAAATAAAGTTCTTGAGTGTCTGTTGATTTGCTTTTAATTTTATTTAAGCCTTATTGATATAAATCCATTTATTTTCATATCATCTCAAATAAGAATAGCATAGTCCCATTTCAGGAGCTTTATAGACACTTGGAGTTGTCAGTCAAATTGTGATGATGGATTGTGATCTCATAATGTAGCAGATAACCCTCAGGCTTATTTTAACAAATTTAAATATCTCTAGCCCTGAATTTCTTCAAATTTGTTTTTGTATATAAAAGGGTGGGGAACTTAAATAGCTGAACAGCTCCCTCCAGTGATTCCAATTGACTTGGCCATTTTAATGTGTTTCTCCACCCTCTATTAATACCAATCACAAGGGCGTCTTGACTTTTTTCCCAAATGGCACTTGACTTCTCCCAAAGGATATCAAAAAAGTGCTGTACCTCTCCAAGTCACTCTGGTGAGTTTAAACCTTCCACCAGTTATATTTTGGGTATCCCCACTTCATATATGCAGCTGCCTCTGAGAACCACAGATGTGCAATTTGCAAGCAGTCTTTGTTCTCCCTTCACCAAGCTATAAAAACAGTGGGGACTAGATTTGGGGCTGGAATTTTCAGATTTGTGACTGACACCAAAAGTTAATGCCATTTTCTCTCTTGTTTATGTTATCTTTCCATCTTTCTGTTCTTTCCTCCTTTCCATTACTTTTGTTTAGAAAAATGTTTAAATGCAACAGTTTGTAGTAATGGAATGATGCATCATTTTTAAATTTATAGTTACTGGTACGTTGGTGTTGCCGGAAGAAATAACAGCATTTATTCTCCATCTTCAGTGCCCTGAGAGTGTGTTTATTGGATTTCTTGCTTGGATGTTTTAAAGGTTGTTTTATGCTCAACCACTTTGTATGGAACTAGGGTTACAGAGAGGCTAGACCAGGTAAGAACAGTGGGTTTCATTCTCTGAAGGAAGTTAGTGAGCTGGTATTTCCAATAATCGAATAATTTCATGACATTTCAAATTGTAGCAGCTTTTACAGAGTCTGACTCAATGAACTATTTGTCTCTTTCAGGTCAACCAAATTGTTGAGCATTTCTCGTATTTTCTTGTATTCAGGTTCTCAACATTTGCTATTTTGTTCAACACTGCAAAAATATCAGTTATGAAATGTACATGTTTTGAAATTTACATCTTTCATGTAACTGTTGAAGTAATTCTTGTCAATTGCATGTTGTTTGTTATAGATAGCGTCGGCCTTGTGGTGGTATTATGTTTCAAAGGGGATTGAATACTTGGACACAGTATTTTTTATATTGAGAAAGAAATTTAACCAGGTCAGCTTTCTGCACGTATATCATCACTTCACGATGTTTACCCTCTGGTGGATCGGAATCAAATGGGTAGCAGGAGGGCAATGTGAGTACAAAGAGAATTGCCTACAAAACGTTAGACACCTGATTATCAGGGGAACTAAATATGTATTATCATTGTTATAAAATGCAAAGTTCTGTTGAGGAAGAGTGTAGTCTGTGATGGTATATAAATTGTCTATTTTGAAGTCTTGCTTAAGTAAATTAAAAATATGATAAAATAGTAATGAGAGGAAAACAAACAAAGTACTGCATCAAAAACAAAAATAGAAATTGCTGGAAAAACTCAGCAGGTCTGTCAGCATCTGTGGAGAGAAAGCAGAGTTAATGTTTTGAATCCAGAGGCGGTTCTTCAGAAGTGAAGAACATTAACTCTGTGTTCTCTCCACATGTTCTGCCAGACATCAGCAATTTTGTTTCTGATTTCCAGCATCTGAAGTTCTTGGGGATTTTTTCTGTAAACGACTGCATTTTTAATAAATATTTTCATTTATAGTTGGCTATAGAACTTGGTCTGATGAGAGTAAACACAAAAATGTTAAGGTATGTTATGGTGTTCTCAGCTCTTGTGATAAGGTGTTATTTAGAACATAAGAAAATCTTTGGTTAGCCTTTTGAAAGTGTGGTTTCTGTATCTAGTTTATTTGTTTCTAAAGTGTCAATGGAAGAAATGAAAATCATTCAAGTTTGCCAGGTAGACTAACCCAGATTTTCACAGTTGTTGATAAATCAATCGTGTTCGCTACTGACTGCAACGAAAGCTGGCAACAAAGATGTAGCAATTGTTATTGCATGGATTTTCCCTTTGCTAATGTTAGTTTGAATTAGGCACTAAGTCAAAAGGATCTTCAGATGTTAAGCAATCATGATGCTATCAAAGTGGTAAGCAGCCAGTCACATCGAAGAACTCTCATCGACAACAAATCAAGTAGAACTATCGCAGAGAGGGGGAATAAAGATTGGGACCTAACTCATTATATAATCAAATATAATGAATTCTTTCAAAATATTTATTCAAACTTGTGGAGGTTTAGCACATTATTTGGCATATACAAGTATAAAATTTGTAAGTCCAGAGAGGTTGTTCAGAGTAGTTATAAGTTTTTCTATTAAAAATTCATTTATATTTCAGCACAGTTACAGATGCTTCTAATAGTGATATTACAACGTAAAATGGAAAGTTCCAGACAGTTCAGTAATCTCTGCGAGGACCTCAAAAAAACAGCATGTGGAAGAATAGGAAGTCCGTGATTTAGAAGTAGCAACTTCTTCATTTCCAAGTTTAACTATGTATATAACTACTATTACAGTTGGACAATTGGGGCCAACAATTTATAATCCTATGTGGATATCATTCACTCGCAGCCTTTAAATAAAAAAAGAAAACAATTCACAATGTTGCAATATGTCATTGATCATGCTTGCCAGTTGGTCTTATTGGTCTTGAGGGGAAATCCCCAGGAAAGTAAAGGTAATTTAAACTTTATCATCCTCTTCATGTAATATTTTGATAGAATTGATTTGCATGAATTATGGTGGCTTGGATTGCAAGCTGCTGTATGGAAAAACATTTTATCATCTATCAAAACAACGCTATGATGCATGAAAAAGCACACAATAGACTTGGAGATGGCTGGGACTTGTTATATTGCAAGGAAGTATATAGTATTAATTTTCAGTCTAACCATAAGGAAGAGAACTGAACTTACAGTCCAATTAGATTCACCTTGAGATACCATAGGAACACGCCCCACTCTTCCATTATAAGACTCCCAACACATCTCGCTATGACTTAACAGAGTATCGGCAGCTATTCCCCCAACAATTTTGGGGTGCTTGGTATTCCCTTTTCCATCAACCAGCCAGTTGCTTTATCCCATATAGAGGTGAGAGGATTTTATTGCCTTCCTCAGCCTGTACATGATTATAATTCTGGGTTAAAATCAAGCCTTGTGTTGGAAGCAAATAGGGAATCTTTTAAGAATCTAGAACATGAACTTCTGTGTAGAATTAGTGTACCTACTATGAGGATGTAAAAACTGATCTCAGTTTTAAATTGTACAAGCAAGTAAGCATCCTCTCTAAGCAGAATTTCCAGTAGTTGTTTCTCTCCCTTATTCAGAATGCACCCCATTTATAAATGAAGACAGCTGATTCAAAAATGACAAAAGAAAGACTAAAGATAGGTGACACTGAAGTCTGTCTTGTAATGAAGTTTAACATTTAAGGTAGGGGAAATTTAGCTTTGGTAGTTGTGAAAGCGTATTTTTTAAATGATGCCTTTCAAAGCCTAATTTTATAGAAATCTGAACACTCGTTTGTTTCCTTGAGGCTATTTAGCACTCTGTCCACCTTCATAGTTATAGATAATGTATTAAACAAGTATGGACACTGGGAGGGATGCATTGCAGAGTGTCATTATTGCAAAGTGTCAGACAAGAAAATATCAATAACTGAAGAGGTGTGAGCTATGAACCACGGTGAGTCAGCCTTTGACAAGTGGGATTGCTTTGTAGTAATATTATTGTAAAAAACCAAATATATGATCTAGATTTTTCACATTATTAACATTAATTTCCAGTTATTAAATTGGAAGAATGTATTTCTGGGAGATCAGTAACACTTTTTTGCAATTCCAGCTTTTTTTGGAGCTCATATGAATGCCGTTATCCATATCGTTATGTATCTATACTACGGATTAGCAGCTTGTGGTCCACAGTTCCAAAAATATCTCTGGTGGAAACGATATTTGACCATCCTGCAACTGGTAAATTAAAGTCTTGAAACTATTTGAGTTCTATTTTAATAGAAAAATTCAGATTGCATAAGGGATTGGAGAGTATTTGCACATTCTTTTCTACAACTTGATTCAAATGCAACCCAGGCATATTAGCTTCGTTGCTTTCTACTGTTTGGCTGATTGACATGAGACTTTTACAATGCCAAGTTGAGCCAATTTCAACCTTGCACTTCTATGGGACCAAAAATATCTCTCAACCATTCAGTCATGCCGTCCCCATATGCCAATTTCCTTAGTGGACAAAAGTCACTAACAATATTGTGTCAGACTGTAATTGAAAGAAAGATTGAGAAGAAGGACTTAGGTTTACAGAGCCTGTTTCAGGACCATGATGTCTAAATGTGTTTTCCAGCCAATAAAGGACATTTGAAGTCACTGTTGTAATGTAGGAAACACAGCAGCTAATTGGCACTTGGCAAACTCGCACAAACAGCAATTTATTAATGGCCAGGTACACTGTTTCTTAAGATGTTGATTGCGGGAAAGGAGAGACTAATTCCTTACATAGAATAGTACCATGGAATATTTTACACACACTTGAACAGGCAGATGGAGACTTTGTTTAGTAGATTTTTTGAGAGACAACGCCTCCAATAGCGCAAAGATTCCTCATTACTACACTGGCAACCTTGATTTTTTTTCACTTGTGCTCAAGCCCTGCTGTGGGTCTTGAGCTCAGAAGCTTATGATGCAGAGATGAGAGGCAAATTGGCTGACTATTAGCAGTCAGACATAAAGAAACTTCATTTTAAACAGTGCAATGGTATATATTTGTAGAAGTGTCAAATGCCAAAACAGAATGTATTTCTAAGCTAAAATTGATTATTGTCCGAACTGATGCATGGCATAGCTGAATAAGTTTTTTTCAATAAAGGGCATTTTTGCTTCCAAACAGGGAATCTTGAAGTAGCAGCCAGCAGGGCATTTAACTTGAGACTTTCACAACAACATGCAAAATTCCTTCAAAGGAGAGCGTTTACTTCTGGCTAACCTATAACTCTCCTTTACTTTAACTGTCTCATAATTTGACAGAGAAAATGGAAACTATTGCACAGAAGAATCAGGAAATAGTTTCAAAATTATTGTGCAATAAAATTTTAGATCATTGCTTAATTTACCTGCTGTGTGATATAGGTTAATAGATCTTTTAGCGATATAATGTGTTAAATCCTTCACATATAGATTCACTACAGTTAACAACTTTTAACTTTGTAGAACTCAATTCCACGATTTGAATGCTGCATCCATGTATTGTATGGATAGGCTCTTGGTTTCACATTACTGAGCAGAATACAGACAATTAATATTAGTTTCTTTGTTTATTTTGGCAGACCCCTCTTTTCTATTACAGTCTTTTGTTTAATAAATATACTGCTTTGTCAGTACTTCGTAAACTGTACCCCTCCACGTTTTTGTGCTTTCTTTTCCTGTCACAGAAACCTTTATAAACTTGACATCCCGTTTGGGTTATTTTCAATATAGGGTAGAAATTCAGAAAGTAATATGTTCCAAAAAGAAAGTAGGAGAAAGTAAATGTTTGAAGATACTTCATAGGGAGGAAATAAAGAGGAGAAAATGTCAAAATATTCACTTTAACATCTGGACAACGTTTTAAACAATGTTTTCTCTTTTTAAAAATGTAATTCTTTTAACACAGGTGCAGTTTCATGTTACGATAGGCCACACTGCTTATTCCTTGTACATTGATTGCCCTTTCCCAAGATGGATGCACTGGGCACTGATAGCTTACGCCATTTCCTTCATAATCCTCTTCGCCAACTTTTATTACCAGACATACAGGGAGCCAAAGAAAGAGCTTGTAAGGAATGGAAAAGTAGTTGTGAACGACAGTGGAATGGTTAATGGAATAATCAAATCAGAAAACAAGCTGATAGTAGAAAATGGGAAAAAGAAGAAGAAAGGAAAAGCTAAGCGTGAATAAGATACATGGGCGAGGTGAAAAACAAAGGGTTGTGTTTTAAAGCCAAATATCGAGTCAGCAAAAGATGACTGCATGTGTTTCAGCTGGCTTTCAACTGATCTGTTGTATCCTTTGCCATCTTTGTAACTTATTGTATTTGCTTTGTAAATGAAATTTGTGATCAATACAATAGTATTGACATGATGATAGACAAGAAAATACACCGGTAAATAAATTGCACTGAATAGGTTTTATGAAAGAGAAATCTGGTCTTTTACCCTTTTTCAAATCCATATTTTAGTTTTTTTTATATTTAGTTATGTTTCCTGTTTTTTGTTTCTGTGAATCCTTGCTAAAAAGCTTTTACTTTACCACTACCTCAGTTTTAATGTTGCTTTTGTTTTAGTTCAATTTTCTACCATATACACATAGGTGAATCCCATGTTAACAGTCCAGGGGTCTACAAGTCCAAAGCTAGTTTTGGTTGCAGGTTATCAGCTCTCAGTTATAGAAATGTGGTAGAAATAGCTTGTGTTCTTTGTACTGAAGGTCCTAAGATTAAAAAGTAGAATGACAATTATAATCATTGTCTGGATCCATATAAACAAATCAGTACTGTTTGGGATACGTTAAAATTTTAACTTGAGTCCAGAACAGGTCTCAAATCTGAGGTTTATGATATGCAACAAGGGTCATAATTCTATTTTTAATTGATTTTATGCAATACAAATTTGTACAATAATGCATGTATTTCAACATGCCCTCTACCCATCCTGACTCACTTTTCTTCCAAGCTTTTAAGTGACTCCTAGTGTACTGTCTTCTGAGTGGCAGTTGTATTCTACCCACTGCAGTATTATTTTTGCATGAGCCTAAGCAATAAATATTAGCGGCCTATTTGACCTACTGAGGGGGATTTGGAATCAACAGTAAGGCTTGCTTTGATCCATATACATGCATTCTGCACCAGCCCTTGTTGAAATTGCTCTTTAAAAGGAACCCTGATTGATTTTCCCTCCCTAACATGCCTAAAGCCAAGTGAAATCTTCTGGCTGCAAATGCTGTGGCTGAGTTTAGTCAATTCTGCATAAACCAGGAACTTTTCATATAATGGCTTCGTATCAACTCACATTAAATCACTGAACCACTGGGACAGCCTGTGAATGTAACTTTATAATGGGGATAATAAAACCACACTGCAATTTATATTGAGAATAAGAATTGAATTAGTCCTTTTTAGTGTATGAGGATCTGCAATGAATTGTGCACTGCTGTTATGGTAGCTACCTGTACACCCAGCAATTTATACCAGACTGGAGTGAATGCTTTAAATGGAGAGTGTTTCAAAAAAGCTTGGAATACTAGAAATGTACACATGTATGACAATGGCAACAAAATGGTTACAAAATCACACCCATTGGCATCAGCTTTTCAAAACCTAGATTTTTTTTAACATCCGCAGAAAAGCATTTCTAAGTTAGATTTAAACATTTTAAACAATTAACTTTCACTATTTTTGTACTGACAATCATCAAGTTTAGACACTGACACCAATATACAGAGAAGCTAAATAAAAGTTGTACTTTCTGTACACACTTTCTGTAACAAATTTGCATTATAAAATCCTTCAAAGATGGTAAAAGATTTGTATGTCTTAAGAGATGTAAAGATATATAGCGCAAGTTGGGACAAATTGTAACAATTATGAGTCAAGTTGACTGCACAGACTTATTTCTCACAGGCTGAGAGTCGAGTCAAACTGATCAATCCTTATTCAGGGAAGAATAATCTAGTTTCAAATAAAGTTTTCCTTTTTTTTGGATTGATTTGCTGCTTGACAGTGCTAGCACATTGATGCTGCAAACCTTCCTTTGTGTACAGCAAAATACTCTCAACAGAAGAGCTTACAAATACATCGCGTACAGTACAAAAAAGAACTCCCATTCTTTGCAATGATCACAACGAATAAGGTGTTTGTATATGCTGATTTGGTTTTTAAGTCCCTTTTCTGACTAGGTCTTTTTTTTTCATATATTTATTTGTCCTTCTCTCACACGTTCCAAACTTTTATAAATAAAGTCCATTAAGGTGGTTTTGCATATTAATTTCTAATTTGTTTTATATTTGAGGTAGCACAGTGGCTCAGTGGTTAGCACTGCTGCCTCATAGTACCAGGGATCCGGGTTCAATTCCACCCTCGGGAAGCCGTCTGTGTAGAGTTTGCACATTCTCCCCTTGTCTGCGTGGGTATCCTGCGGGTGCTGTGGTTTCCTCCCACAGTCCAAAGATGTGTAGGCTAGGTGGATTGGCCATGCTAAATTGCCCATTGTGTTCAGGGATGTGTAGATTAGGTGGGTTATAGGGATGGGTCTGGGTGGGATGCTGAGGGTTGGCGTGGACTTGTTGGGCCGAAGGGCCTGTTTCTACGCTGTAGGGATTCTGTGAATTTATAGGCAGTAATGATCCAATCACCACCCTTGCGTGCAAGTATAATTGTATATTTGCAATAAGTGCCAATGCTTTCTTGCTAGAATAGAAGGAGTCTGCAACAGGATAAAACTTCAACATAAAATTAGAACAATATATTTATAAACATGTCCAAGAATAATTCGAAGAATATAGTTTTGGATTTTTGACATCAGAATGTTTCAATTATATTTACTGACTTGTAACAAGGTATGTCCTAAATTCATAAAACTCTTTTCCAATGTAGTTAAAGTTCTTCTAAATACTTGGTATCAGTAATGAAACAGTAGAAACCACTTTTCATTTTTGAGCTGAGCAGTTTTGTTAGTCTGAGTACAGAATATTCTTCCTAATATTAAATCTGTATTTATGAAAGAACAATCTTGACTTATGAGACAATGTCATTCTAGCCATCCAGATTTTTGAAATGGATTTGATTTGTGTGGCATTACAGGACCAATTTATTTTGAAGATTTGAGGTAGTTGGACTTTAGGCTGTCTAAATAGGGTAATGCTTAAGTTTCTTAATTCAGTGGCTGCTGATGTGTGAGAAGGCATGGATAAGCTTGAGCAGCATCTTGCCTTGGTTTAATTTTACTACTGATTAAGTTGATGAAATCCCAATTGACATCTGTGTGTCATTCTACTGAGTTGCAGAAGACTAGTCTTAAGGTTAATAGCTTTAGACGTTTGTACTTGGGTCACCTTATGAAAGTGTGAACCCTCGTTCAGACATCTAGTTTTGGAGAAGGAGCTAGGTTAGTTCAGAAGGGATTTTGTTCAATACTAAATATAACAGGTTTAAGTTCTTTGAATGTGAGCTACCTCTTAGAATATCAATGATAGAAACATTCTGCTAAATGTTTGTTTTGAATTGTCGTGTGTTGTAATTTTAATCCTCAGCAATATTGTGTACACTTGAAATAATTTATTGTGTATTGATTTCATTTGGGTTTAACTGCAATTGATATGACCCTGATGCTTGTTCTGACTGTTATTGCTGATGGTTGTATATATTTTTGGCGGGGTTTAAGGGCAATTCATAATGCATTTAATATTGTACAGAACCTGAGAATTATAAACTGTTGGTTTTATTTTAGAATAGTGGATCCGACAGTAAAATATTCTTTCTTTCTTAACATAAAGATATTTGAAAACTATGCAGAGGGAGTCCAACTCCTAAAAACAGTTACATAATTAGTTGTTCCCAAGCATTAAGTTCTAATATGAAAACTTCTATGTGTAGCAATGGTCAGTGAACCAAGTCAGCTTAAAACTTTTTTTAAAATTATTAAAGCTGACAGTTTGTTGGGGAATAATTTGCATCATAAGCTACAATTAGACTTGCAATGATAATTAGACTAAAGGATTTCATGAGCGCCAAAGTTTAAGTATGTTGAATCAAGATTTTTAATAATCTTTCAGTACCTAAAAATGGTGGTAGAAATCTGAACTAGTCATTATAGTTCAACAGTTTTTAAATGTAAAGCAAAATTATCCGTTCCTTAAGTAATTTTCACGTTATTTGGAATGCTGCTTTTTTTTAAAAATAAGAAGGGCACAAAAACATGCATGCACAAAAAATGTAAATAATTATTCTACCCTTTGTATTTTGAAGGAGTTTTTTTTCCCTTGATTCTGCTTTCTTTTTGTCTGCTGTACATTTGTATGGCAGTACGGAACTTGAACAGTGGTGAAAAGAGAGACATGTTGCCAAAGTATTTTGTCTGGTACACATCAGGTCAAAGGAGAGAAAACCAAATTTCAAACAATTGCAACAATTTATACTGATGGACCGAGTGGCAAGTTGAGTTTGATTGGCTGAATTGAAGAAAGCAACAAGGTGCTATAAGGCTCCCAAGCTCCTGATTAACTCCATTTTGAATAACCAAAGGAATATGCTGTTGATTCATTCAGACATTCACTGCTTCTACATGGCATTGTACTGGCATTGAAGCTTATACACAACATGCTCAGTTGTGTGGTAGGCAAAGTAGTTGTTCTTAATAGGCAGAGTGTAAGCAATACAGAAGCAGCATGTGGTTGTAAAATCCAAAACAATGTCTAGTGTTTGATGTGATTCCACTATTGGCGAACACTTCTTTTAAATAATCCTGAGTCCACTAAAAGCTACACTAACCAATTTAAATAATCGGCAAGCTTGCAACATGATTTATTTATGCTTACTCGAAGCAAAATGCATTCGTATGCAGAGATCTGTACCCTGTAAACGAAAGGAAAACGCTCAAGCCTTGCAGGATTTTTGAATTATCAAGGAGCTTTTGAACCAGTAGTTCCCCTTTTTTTTCCATTGCAATGCCTTGTCCACTCAGTGTACACTTTCCAATAAATCAGCATTCTTTTCTCAATGCCATGTAAATTATTGTGATCATTAGAAACATGTTTGCGAAAACTTTATCAATATGTCACTATTTTCAGCAGTGTTCAAATGAGCACATTATCCATTTTCATGTGTGTTAAGAAATCTAATTCTTCACTTATTAATATTAATACTTTCTTTTCTGGATGTATGAAATGCATGTTATTAGAATTGGTTAATCTGCATTAATACCACAGTCCTTCATCTTCATGTTTCCATCAACAAACTAAATCTTTCAAATAGCATTTTACTGTTTACTAATTAATTTAAAGACCGTTTTAAGGTAGGAAATGTTGATGTTTTAGTTGTTCCACTGCATATGTTACCAGATAAAGAGATCTAAAGTAAGCAACAATTATCCATGTCTTAGTTAACACATTGTCAATTGATATACGTGCATCTCGTCTTTAGTGTCTTCAATGAAACTACTTGACAAAATTGTACAGGCTTAGTAGCTGAAGTCTTTTAATGCGTTAATGCATTTTCTGGATAGAGTTGTCAGAACTGATATTCAGGTGACAGTTATAAACCAACTTGAGTTTGTTGCTGATCTGACTCTGTTATCTAAAATCACTGAAAGTCATTTCCAAGGTGAGTATTAAGAACTATTTCCTTACAGAGGAGGTAACAGCCAGAATTGATTTATCAGGAATGATTCTGGAGATCAGGAGATAGTAAGATCAAATCAGAGTGAAATCACATGGGTTGACGGGCTTCCTCATTCAGATCAATCTGTAACATCTGTCAGCAGCCAGTGTTCTCGGGGAAATAACTGACACTATCCATAGTGTAGAAAATGATTCCATATATATATGTTAACAGAACACTAGTTAACTCAGTGACTTCCAAGTTGAAAATTAAACATTTTTGTTTCTTTGTCTTCGTTGGGTGAACAGCAAAATTTGAGTGTGAGATCCAAAACTACTCAACCTATATTGATTGTACCTGGTACTATTTAATTATAGGATAGTACTGAAAGCGGCCTTTGAGATGTTTCCTGGCCTTATGCAAATTATATAATGGAATACATGCCCATTTTGCTCTAATGTTACATTGCAATACTGCATTTTTATCTCTTTTGATGAGTATGTATCCAATATGATTCAAATATGTAATACCAGTAAATAATGTCAACTTGCTTGATTTTCTATGACTTGTTATTTTTAATCATAATCTTATCTTTGTGGCTTGTGAATATTTTGAAAGTATTGTAATCATTTTTATTTAAGAAGAATTCAGTTTTAAAGTGGCCAGGAGTTCCACTGGATTGCTGAGTGTTAAATGAAATGGCGCTGCATTGTAGTTATGTCGCACATGTTCGAATCTAAGTGTAAGTAATGCGTGATGGGTTCTTTGAGGGTTTTCATACCCTAACTCCAGATGTTGATCAGAACTCAAGTTGAGAAATGAACAAAAATGACACAAAATATTGAAAACAAGCTTGCCAGTTCGAGGGAGAAATTGCAAAGGTCATGGGCCGAAAGCATTAACTCCATTGCTACCTCCACAGATGCTATCTGACCTGAGTACTTTGGGCAGTTTATGTTTTTATTTCAGATTCCAGCATCCACTATATTTTGCCATTATATTCAGAATCGTACTAACACAATTGTGAATCAGAAATGCTTGTAAGTAATGCAAATGTAACAGTATAACAGCATCTATAAATGTATTATATAAAACACACATACAGAGATCACTAATGTGTTTCCAATATTTTTAGACTAATATTTTACCTCTTTATTTTGCACAGCTATTACTTTGTCCAGTTCACTGACTTTTTTGTTGCTAGTCAAAGTCTGCGTAATGATCAAACCTGAATGAGTTGAAACATAATCCAAAAGACCTGTTGAGTAAATATTGCATGATTTAAGAATGTAGAAGTGGAATTGCTGATAGTTTTGTGTTTTTAGTTTACACTGTTTATTTGTAGTTTACACTTTTTATGCTGCTGTTTTAAATTTGCAACTTGGAAAGTATTGCTACTTCATGGAACATAACGTTTCAGTATATCACGCATGCATTATACGTAAGTTGATTAAATGTTGTTAGTATATGTAAGCCTTTGATGTTGAGCAATTAGTGCATGGAACTGCCTGTAACCAATGGTCAAATATAGGTAACTCACCTTATGGTGACTTACTATTTACAACAGTAAGGTACAGGGTTTTCTCATCTCTAAAAATTAAGTGCTCCACCTCTTCACGTTGTTTCTCCATTTTGAATGAAAGTTTATGTAAATGATGTAGACAAACATGCACTTGAAAGTGCATAGTAACTAAATGTAAAGAATTTGGGGGAGAATCCGAAGATGCCGTATGGAGTTTCATGAAGATCTA